ACTCCTCAGTAAAAAGCACATGACCGCCTGAAGGACTCTCAGACCATGAGAAACAAAATTCTCTGGTCTGATGAAACAAAGATTGAACTCTTTGGCCTGAATGCCAAGCGTCATGTGGAGGAAACCAGGCACTGCTCATCACCTGGCCAATACCATCCCTACAGTGAAGCATGGTGGTGGCAGTATCATGCTGTGGGGATGTTTTTCAGCGGGAGGAACTGGGAGACTGGTCAGGATTGAGGGAAAGATGAATGCAGCCATGTACAGAGACATCCTCGATGAAAACATGCTTCAAAGCGCTCTGGACCTCAGACTGGGGCGACGGTTCATCTTCCAACAGGACAACGACCCGAAGCACACAGCCAAGACAACAAAGGAGTGGCTTCGGCACAACTCTGTGAATGTCCTTGAGTGGCCCAGCCAGAGCCCTGACTTGAACCCGATTGAACATCTCTGGAGTGTTCTGAAAATGGCTGCGCACCGACGCTCCTCATCCAACCTGATGGAACTTGAGAGGTTCTGCAAAGGAGAATGAGAGAAAGTGCCCAGAAATAGGTGTGCCACGCTTGTGGAATCATACCCAAGAAGACTTGAGGCTGTAATTGCTGCCAAAGGTGCTTCAACAAAGTATTGAGCAAAGGCTGTGAATACTTATGTACATGTTATGTTTTCGTTCCTTATTTTTAACAGATGTGCAAAAAACAGTTTTCACTTTGTCATTATATGTTGTTGTGTGTAGAATGTTGAGGAAAATAATGAATTTAATCCATTTTGGAATAAGGCTGTAACATAACAAAACGTGGAAAAAGTGAAGCGCTGGGAATACTTTCCGGATGCACTGTACTACTGTAACTACTTTACACAATGAAACACAAACATGAAAAGGTTAAAAAAACGTCCTTCACATACGCAAACAAACATACTTTCACAAAAAACGCAATTGTCCTTAAGCGCCAACCACGCCTACGTGTTTTCCCACAAGCAACTAAACCAAGCACAAAAATGTTGGAAGTTTATTTTGTGCAAACTTCACAAGGGTTTGATGAGCTGGGAATGATAAAACGTTGATTTGATGTATTGTCAAAATGAAACATTTGATTCTTTACATCATTTTTGCATCTTTCCTCCAATGGGCAGCTGACAAAGAAAGGAAGCATGCTTCTACATTTACCCTAATTACACATACAGGTTCAGAAATTGAAAAAAAAAAAGAATTGTAAAATGAAGCGGTATTTTTAGATTTTTTTTGTAAAATCTTTAACGTACTGTTAAATATTCATCCATTCCAGGTAAATTAACAGTAGTGAACATCAATATCATATTATAGTGCCTGTAATGACGAGAATTGTATTAATCAAACCACTCAACTAATTTGAGTGAAAAGACTGTTACCTAAAACTTCTGAGATGAGATCCTAATTACATTAGGTTAATAAAAATGGCAAATGCTTCTGGCAAATGTGTGTTTACTTATTATCGTGAGGGAGGGGGACCAGATATCAGCGGTATGTGTTCAAAATGAGCATTCAGTATTAAAGTAAATATGGAATTAATTTGTATTGCTTTCTTAGCTTTTCGCTAATTAAATGCATCAGTATAGAAGCTTGTATTACATATTTTTCAATGAACAATAATAGTGTTCTCCTGGTCTCATTAAAAAATCCTTGGCCGAAGACGGCCTCTGTCAAACTTCAGGGTCAGAGGTTAACGTGTCTTTGAGGCGGAGCCTGTCTCACACACTGAAGAGAACAAAGGTAATCTTGCATCACCACATTAACGTACAGTAAAGCACTGACTGGCACAGATCCAAAAGAAGTCATTAACAGCTTGAATACACGATATATCAGCCTCACAGTGAAGGGGACAGCTGGCCGTGGTCTCTGCAGTTTTCCTTGCCATAAAGGGTTGAAAGATCAGGCAACCAGGTGGATCAGGTGGGGGTGGGGGGGTATGAAGGTCACTTTGGTGTCAGTGAGGCAGATGTCTGCGTGGACGCACTACCCCTGAAGATAACGATAAGACATAAGATGGACAGATTTGTGACTGGTCTCAAATAAGATGCAGTATCGCCACAACAATAACACAATAGAAGGTAAAAGAACAAAAATATAACAAGTATAGGCCTGCTACAACAAATTGATGCAATTTGTTTATTAATAGAGTTGCCAAAAACTGTTATTATTGATTTGTTGTGCCGCGCGATCATTATGCAAATGATTGCCGGATTATTTTCTGCATGGACTAGATGCTCTGCACAAAAGGTTTTGAGAGGATTCTTCTGGTACAATCCGAATGTGTGATGTAAGACACAGACTGTATCTACTCATTTACTACCCATAATGGTTGTAATCCGACACTAGTAAACAATTCTACATTTATTAGCGGTATTAATGAAATGAATGAATAAATAATTAATTAGCAATGTTGTAAAATTACAAACTACCTTTTCAATAGTCTCCTTAACCATCTTTTGGTTCAGGGATGATAATGAGGACTCACATTGAGCTAGTACTTTTTTCTGTGGTGGGAATGTGTGAGAGCCTCACCCTACGCAGGTTCAACAATTCTCCCCCAACATTTTCCTCCTAACAGTTTTGCATCCATGAGCTGGCTTCCTATTGCCTGAGCTGGCGTGGAGGGATTCTGCAGGGTTCTCTTCCTTTGGACATCTTCTATGTGGCTGTAACAGCAGAGGAGATGAAATACACCTTTGAGTTCCTTCAGAAAGTCATCATGAACATAAAACCGGACTGAAGCTCAGCAGAAACACATGGGCTCAGAAACAAACTGCTTAGATAAAGCCTGTCCAAAAGGTCAAACACATCTCACATTGGGTTTTTTCTACCATGTACTGTTCTGAAATGTAGAGTAGTTATGTTAACTTATAAAACCTTTTGTGAGGGACTAACTTAAAAAAAAAGATTATAGAAATGTTTAGGAAATTGTATTACATTAGTTAAGTTGTGTTTTTATGAAGTTATCTTTATGTACCTGAAATGAACCGTTTGTTATCTGTCATTTGTCAATGTAGAAAACCACCATCAGACCCCAACCCCACCTACTGTCAGTCTCCACTTGTGTGTGTGGGAACAATGTTAAACACATGCAGCTATGTGGATGTGTTGTAATGCACCTGTACCCATTGTTAAAGCCTGTGTATTCAGTCAAGTCACCATTGTTTGTAAGTTGAAACAAATTGAGGTGCGCCCACCTTTTGACGAGAATGTCCACACGGTAAAACATTTCAAGCTAGTTCAACTTGCAGACGAAAGTTCAGCTGCTGCCTTCAAAAATCTAGTTGACTCAACTTGAAATTTCCTTTTGATTTGAAATGGGGAAAAAAAGCTCAACGTGTTGTCAATTGTTTCAAGTTGTTAGAGATGAGTGAATTTTTTGTCCCTTGTTGTTTATACATAAATTAAAACAAACATTGCTATTACATTATAAGTTCAAAAAAACTTTCCATACCTAGTCAAACAAACAGGTTTCTGCTTTATTGTAACTCAGTTTAAGTTAAAATATTGACAGCACGTGTGTACAACTTTATATTTCAACTTCAGCAGAGGCTGTTCATTCTGAGGCAGCTGAAGACGATGATGGTCCACTTCTACACGGCCATCATGGAGTCCATCCTCTGCTCCTCCATCACCGTCTGGTACGCTGCAGCCACAGCCAAGGACAAGGGCAGGCTGCAGCGGGTCCTCCGCTCTGCAGAGAGGGTGATCGGCTGCAATCTGCCGTCCCTGCAGGACTTGTTCGCTTCCAGGTCTCTGAAGCAGCTAAAAAGATTGTGGCCGACCCCTCCCACCCCGGACAAAAACTGTTTGTGCCCCTTCCATCTGGCAGGAGGCTGAGGTCCATCAGGACTACGACCTCCCGCCACACCAACAGTTTCTTCCCGTCGGCAGTCGGGCTCATCAACAGAGCCGGTCCCCCACTGACTGACTCTGACCTTACACCGGTCACTTTCTTACACACGTACATATATTCGTCACTTTCACAAAGACTCACTACACAATTGTGTAGAGTATGGTTATCTGTTTGCGTGTGGACTTATTTTAAAAAATGTTAATCTTTTGTTTTATTCCATATTCCTTTTGTTTATAGCCTTGTAGGTGGTGTGGTGGTTATCACCGTCGCCTCACAGCAAGAAGGTCCTGGGTTCGATTCCGCCCAGTGGCCTTTCTGTGTGCAGCATGTTCTCCCCGTGTCTGCGTGGGTTCTCTCCGGGTTCTCCGGCTTCATCCCACAGTCCAGAGACATGCTCTGGGGATCAGGCTGATTGGGGACTCTAAATTGCCCGTAGGTGTGTGAATGGTTGTGTGTCTCTGTGTAGCCCTGTGATTGGCTGGTGACCAGTCCAGGTTGTACCCTGTCTCTCGCCCAAAGTTGACTGGGATAGACTCCAGCCCCCTGCGACCCTGTGTGCAGGATAAGCGGTTTGCATATGGATGAATAGCCTTCTATTTTATACTGTAGATTTAAATGTGTAAAATGAACATGTCCATTTTCTCATTGTCTTATTGTCCATTGTTATGCAAAAATTGTCTAAAATACTATGTTTCAAATTTCTGATTAGATACTGTTGGATCAAAATGTCTTTGATATTCAGATGGCTAATTGTCATTGTTTGTCATAATCATTCATGTTACATCGTCATCCTATAATAAGTTTATACACCAAAAATATTAGTTCAAGATTAATAAATAAGTGAAAATGTCAGTGTTTCTTCTTCATGTTACAATTTACTGCATTATTAAATAATCCAACAATTTATGTATTGTCCTAATATACTTAAAATTTAATTGAATTATGTTAATTTATCAAAATACATTAAAATATTCATTCTAAGATGTAAGCTATGAAGCTGAGAATGTACACCTCCCACTTTGTATTAATGACCACACAGGATGTTATATAGAATAAAATCCCGTCATTGCCATCCCCTAAACTACAAATCCCAGAAATCCTTGCCGGGGACTAATCCTGTCATATGACCAGGCAGCAGGGGCAGGTGGTCTGGTCACATGATGTTGTTAGCCGAGGCTGAGGAGCAGCAACATCTGAGCTGAATCAAAGCCCACATCACTCCCTACATTGAAAAGGTAAAAGCTGGAGAAATCCCTCCTTTTCTCCCTGTGTTTTTCTGCCTTAGGTGACAGATGCTGCATCTCACAGAGGGATGTGAGGAAGAAGAGGAGGAGGGGAGGGGATGAGTTGGGAGGCAGGCAGGACGGGGGATGGGAGGCCATCAGGGGTGCCTCTCCGTGGCCTTCTAAGATGATTGTAATGTGTACATGTATGCTCTGTAAACACGTTGTGCATGAGGACTGTTTGTCCTTGAAAGGATCCCACGTTGTTGGAGATTTGCAGAAATAGGACAAAGAGAAGGAATGGCAATGTGAGGGTGTTCCAGTCCGTTCCTCTTTTAACATAAGAGCTGTGTTCTCCTTCTGGCAGCAAGCCACATGTGGACGATTATTCTATTTTTTTCCTATTGTTTTCATTTACACTCCAGTCTTATTACTATATTATTTTTTATTTTTAACTGTTTTTGCAAAGTAAGTTCAGTGCCCTTTTGTGATTTCCTACGTTTAACACTCATGTCGGCTGACTAATTGGTTCAAGAATGGCAGTTAAGTGAAGGCAGGGAGGATTTCTATTTCCATTTAGTTTGTGATTGATGTAATTTAATAACATTTTATACAGAAAGTGGACTCTTTCTCTTTCTCTGAGTTACTCATTCAGCAAATAACCATTTCTATATCCATTTACAATTAAGTGACACAAGTGTGACACGGCCCTGAAATGGAGCTGCTAGTAGGAGCTAAGCAGCCATTAGTAGCAACTATCACACACACTGTGCTGTGAGGTCACCGTCACTAGAAGCACATCCAAGGCCCTTTGAGAGAGTAGCTGTTTGCAGACACAACACTGGTACTCAAACTCTACTAAAAGCCGGTTTGTTTGCTTTTGGCTGAGGTGATCAGACCTCCACTGCTGGGCTTTGCACTGGCAGAAATAAGAGGCCCGGGCTCGTTGCTTAGCAGGTATTTGAGACTTTAAAATGAGTCAGCTTTGCTTCCTAGAATCCCGGGAAATGAAATAGTTAAATGACCAAAATACAGCAAACTACTGCAAAACAAAAAAAGAAGCATAAAAAACAGATGATAGTTTTCTGAATGTGAAATAGGGCCCTGTGGTGTGTGTAGGTGCATCATGGAGATATGATTCACTGTATCACCATTTACATATTATATAACTTGAAAGTTAGAAAAGCAGATTGAATGTTTTTTCAAGTTTATTAATATAATCTGAGCTTTTATTATTCTGTCTGAGATGAATTCTTCCTCTGTGGTGTATCAGCCAGAGGATATGTAACAGGATGCTGACTGGTGGGTGTTCTCTGCATGATTCATCGCTCATCTAGTGGATCTAAATAGTTCACTTTTCTTTCTTCTGCCTATTTGTTATTGTAATTATTGTTTGTTATCTGCAATTTGTCATGATTATTCAGCAATGATTCAGTATATTGCAGAATGAGTTAATACATTTATATATGAGACCAACCCGGTTCTGGAGGGTAGGGACCTGTTATGGGGTCCCACTGTAGAGGCTTTTGCTACTGTTGTATATTGTTAAAAGGATCCCCATCCGCTGTGACCAAAGTGGGAGGAGCTAATCTTCCTGCAGTCCAACAAAAAGAAAAATCACTTAACGACAATAAACTAAAAGCAGTAAAACATTGTATCATTATAAACATCATCAGAACTATTTCAGAATAAGTTATTATAGTATTACATTCATACAGTAAATATGTCCATTCCCTACTCACAATGTTAAGTGCATTCTCAGACAGTACTTGATAGAGACTTTATTATTCATTTTACGTATATTCAGAGGGCATTTATTCCGACGAATGACAGCACGATAAATAACTTCTCTTTAGAGCATTAGATTTTGGGTGTGGTAACATCATCTGGCCATCGTCAGCTGATCGAGTCAAATGAACCTGATCACACCGAACAATTTAGTTTGCAAAGAAAAGACAGTGTTTCTGTTTAATTTTGCCTTCTTTCCAGACAGTGGGAAAAACACCTTTCATTAAACATGAATTGAATATTTGACATAACAGACCGCAAACATAGTCAGCTGCCAGGCCAATTACTTTACTGTCCAGCATGTCAGTACCCACTGATCTGTATTCAGGCCGGGACCTCGACAACGTCCTTACTTCCCGCTCCTCCACACTATTAAACTGGAAAGTGCACCTCTTATCTAACATCACAATTTTTTATGAGCTTTAAATAATTATAATGAGTATTGTCCATATTCTGCCGTAAGCCTAGTTTATGCTTCTGCGTTTTCAGAGCGACGTAAGGAAAAGGTGCGAAAAGACACGCAAGAGACAAGAGGAGGTCCCTTGCGTGTCCCTTGCATGTCCTTTGCGTGTCTTTTCACACCTCCTTGAGTGCGTCGACCCATTTTTGTAGACTAGCGTCTAAAGCGACGCAGCCTCCTGCAGCACCAGGCTGTGATTGGTCTGCTGACTACGTCCTTTACGGAGTCTCACATCTCCGTTTTCACAGCACAATACGGCCGTTATTAAAAGGAAGAACGTTTACGAGAGAACTGATCAGATTGAAGAGCTTTTGTGGGAAGAAATGCGTAAATATGAGCGCTTGTACAAGCCGTCATTGGCGGACTATGAGGACGCCGGATGGCCTCTGATTCATGGAGGGAGATCTCCACCAACGATCTCAATGCCACCATTTATTCTTTGCAAGTAATATTATTTTTTCATCAATCTTTTCAGTTTTGTAACATGATTTCTCAGTTGTACTTACATCTGTCCTCCACTAATCCAGACTTTACTAATGTAGACTTAGCTTCATCTCTTTCCTTCCTTCAGCCATGGAACTGGTCTCTCTTTCCATAAAAATATTGAAGGAGGCCTCAGGCTCCTCAGCAGCATACACATCTGTCCAGTCAATATCACTAACCTCTACCAAAAAACCTGTCTCACACTGAGAAGTTGCCAGTCTTTTGGCTGTAGAGACACAACAAGTTGGTTTGGAGGCCACCAGGGGTCCGTTTCAAGAAGCGGGTTTAGTGAAAACTCAGTTAGTTAACCCTGAGGTAACTGAGGCTTGTCTGTTTCACAAAGGGAGGTAACTAAAGCTCAGGCTCAGTCACCATGGTAACTAAAGCTCAGGCTCAGTCACCATGGTAACTAAAGCTCAGGGTCAGTCACCATGGTAACTGAAGCTCAGGCTCAGTCACCATGGTAACTGAGCCTGTGAACATCACCTGGTCGGGAGCAGGTTTTCTTTCTCCTTTCACAGGCTCCTCCCTCTGGCTGGGCTGCTGTCAATCACACATCACAATCATTTCCTCATTTATTCATTCACTCTATCAGGCGGATTTTAGCGCAGTTTACACATACAGTGTGAACTAAATAAGATGTTACGTTCAAGACTGAAGAGTTTTTTCGAACATGACACGTCCTTTTCTGGACGATCTTGTTGATGAAGAAGCGTTTTTACTTCGCAGGGTGTTAAACACGTCGGGGAAGAATATTGAGGCCCGATTAGATATATTGTCATTTCCAGATGACTACTTGTTTAAACGGTATTGTTTTTCTTCACAGTCCATCAAATGTGTACATAACCTCACCCGTCCTTATAAGTAACGTCTCTCATCTTGGACATGCTCTCACATACGAGCACATTCTTTGTGTAGTGTATTCCTTTTTTGCAAACTGCATTTTCCTTTACAACATTATAATATTAATAAAGCCGTGAGTCGTGAGAAACGTCTTTTAAACCTTTTTGTTCCCTGGACACAAACCAGTGAAGCCATTAAAGAGGAGATCCACAGGATGCACCTGAATAAAATACATTATAGGTTCAATACGAGGGGTCGACATGGCGCAGGGGTAGAGAGGGTGCCCCGGGAACCACAAAGTTGGCGGTTTGAGCCCCGGTTGCTCCATGTCCCATATTGAAGTGTCCCTGAGCAAGACATCTAATCCCTAATTGCTCCCTGGGCAAAAATGTAAAGCAAGTCGCTTTGGATAAAAGTGTCAGCTAAATGACCCGTAATGTAGTGTAATGCCATTGTACCAGTTTTTACCAGCAATATTATTCTAAATAGGTTTCTTTCCTTTTTTCCCTCTTGAAAGGGTTTTCATTTTTTGGGGAGTTTTTCCTGTGCTGATGTGTGGGTTTCTGGACAGAGGATGTCGTATGTGTACAGACTGTAATGCCCACGGAAGCAAATTTGTAATTTGCGATTTTGGGCTATACAAAATAAAATGAATTGAATTGAATTAAATATGGGCATGGGTGTGTAGTGCATTCTAACAGAATGTAAAACATGTTATTTTCCCACTGGGAATTAGTAAAACGTATGGATTCTGATTAGTGTGTACATTAAATGTTAACTGACAACACTATATTGGAACTTACAGCAATTTCCTCCCTCTCTGTCTTTTGCTGCAGTAGCGGTGTTGTTTTTCTCTCTAATTACAGGTTCATACTCGCCGTACGCTTGCATTAATATTTCCAGCTCAATAGGGGTGAATATATTGTTTGTGGTTGTTGCCATGGTAACTCGTATCATGGCTCCATTCATGCTGCCTTCTTACTGTGGTGGTGCACGCGCTCAACTCGGTTGATTGAACCAACTCTAAACCCAAAACTAAGAGTTTCCCACATCAGAGTAAATCAACTTAGCAAAATCTTCCACAACATACTGCAGACATTCAAATGGGCCATAAAAGACCCTTTGAAACAGAGACGCTTATCATCAAAGGGCCTGCTAGCCATAAAATAATTTAGGTCAGATCAGTCTATATGAGCTCAAGTTACTAGGATCCCTACCAACGAAGGCATTAGGAAACCTGCACTAGTAGCCAAGACCCCGGACGGTGTGGTGGTACTTGATGCAACTATAGTGGCCGACACCTGCATTGGAACAATGGAGGCAGCCGTCAACCAAAAAGTAAGCTATTATGACAAACATGACATTAGGAGATGGATTGGAGGACTCTGGAATGTGGAGCCAGAATGCATCAAATTTGGGGGTATGGTGCTAACTTGGA